CCCCAAAACCCCAAAACCCCAAAACCCCAAAACCCCATGTGGATGAATAGGTTTGAATTAAAGGAAATTATGAATTTAAATCAATTAAATGATCATTTAGATTAATTATCTATCTATCAATCAATAGACTTTCAAATCATATTAAATGAATTTCATTAATTGAGAAGAGATCCAATTCATGAAGCTCTCATTGAGTATCACCTTGATAATACTCTATTTGTTCACATTCAAAAGTATTGCTATCACCTTATTGTCTTAAGAGTATCCAATAGCAATATTCTGGTTATGAGAAATTAGAATTACTATAGCACTCAGCCATACTAGGCGGGCTCATAGGATTAATGCATGATAGGTAAAAGATTATTTTTGCTCTAGGAGTTGTGATAATTTGCATTGCCCCATTGCCCTCATATGGTCCAAAAGCTGATTCGTATTAATCATTAGGCTCTTATTTGGAGAAATGTCCAGTTGAGACTCCATAAATCATAGTTTATGTATATATTTATGGACCATTCTGAGAAAATGATTATACCGCATCATGGTAATAAAACCCTAGTATTGAGCCAGTGCTTGTTTTGATGAAGCCAAAGATGTCATCCTTTTAATATATGGCTGCAAGAGCGTCAATACGTGATTTTATATTCTTTTACGCATTAAAGACTTTAGTAAAAGACTTAATGTTTGTATCATAGGTTGATTTTACTTCTTAGGCAAATAGCTTAAATGCATCTTAAGGAACGAATGAGTCTGCTGGCTGCCCGATAATATCTGGAGCCACTGATGGAGAGGTTGGTACAATTGTTGGAACAACAGTTGCTGCTGGAACATTTGTTGTTGCTGGAGGATTTGTAGTTGCTGGAATATTTGTATATTATGCCTCATCTTGATGTCCTACCTAAGATGAAAGACTAAGTAGACCTTTCTCATCAACTATTGCTACAGAGATTTCATTGTAAGCTGAGAGACTGACTCCTTTAGCGCCTGAAACTATGTACCACTTTTATGCAACTGTTTGCCATTTGAGAACTTGATAGCTTTTTACATTTTCCTCTTGCTTTAAAGCCCACAAAGAACCATCGATACCAGCACTAATACTAACAAGCTTTTCCCCACCATAATTGAAGTCAACAGTCCCATCGTTCAAAATCAAGATGGGCTAGTCTTTCAGCAATGTGATACCCTTATATCCAGAGAGAGCCTTGTACTAATAGTCTTCAACACCAACTGTTCTCCATGGAGATGATAGAGTATCTTTAGGTAAAGAGCCAAGACCATCATGCAAAAGATAGATCTCTCGTTTAACAGTGACTTCAAAGTCAAATGCCCCACAGATTAACTTCTGTTTCTAAGAATTGAGGATGCAATTATTTTAGTCCAAATAGTAAATATTTCCAAGTCTGTCGAATCTAATAGCCTTCGCTTAAAAAGTAGCATCAGTTATTGTCCAGATATTGGATGTGATATTGTAAAGGTAAACGAAGTATTTCTTGGTTTCCATTTCGGATTGGATTCTTTGAATGGCATATATATCTCCATCTGGACTGGTCTAGACATCAATGAAAGCGTTAACTACGGACCACTAAATGTTTTGAGTTGCATTCCAGTTGAAATTATTGGATGCTTCTTATCTCCACTTTAGCTGTGATCTTTGCTTCTAAAGTACATCACTGATCTGAATTGAAGTACAAGCCCCCAAAAGTATTGCAAAGTTCAGTATAGTTTTATGAAACATTTGAAAATTAAATTTAATATAGTTTCTAACAGACACAAATTTATATCCTTAAGATCTAATGAAGTAATTTCTCAATGATATTTGAAATTTCAAGAATTATCAAGATCTAAATCTGAAGATTACATTGAGCATTGACAACAAGATTAGCTCAATGATTGTAATTTAATTTGAAAGAGGGTTAAAATGCAAAAAATGCTACAAACTTCAAAGAAATTATTAATCCTGATTTTTGAAAAATAATTGTGGCACATTTTGGAGTAATGATTCTTTGTTTTAAAATATTAATGATAATTGATATTAATCGAAGAAAAATGCTTATAGATTGATTAGTTAACCTTAGATTTAAGAAGTCCCTTTGTAAATAATATATAAATTTTTGATATTTAAATCGCTAATTGTTTTTAGTTCTTAAAGTAAATACTTGATTTTTCTAGAAAGAGTCTTATATAATTTTGCAATTTCAAAATAAAACAGTCTCTAATTTCAAATAAAAATAAAGATAATGATAATACTTAATGACAATTAATATCCAAAGATAAAAAATGCTGAATCAACTAGTGAATAATCTTGGATGATATAGACTCTAAATGCTTTTCAAGAAAAATATAGTTCATGTGTTATTTAAGAGAGGGAAGTCAATTATTTATTAAAAGTTTATCATGATTATTCAAAATTTAAAGGTCCAGTATATACATTAAACTAAATATCTAATTATCAATTGCTAATCTCTTTAAATTCGCTTAATTTCTGAATCTTGG